GAAATATAATATTTAATCCATTTCTATAATTAATAAAAAAATTTTAATTACCTCTTTCTAAACATTCCTACACATCAGTCATAATTTTAGGTTTTCATCTCGTTATCCACAAGTAACGTGAATGAACTATTTACAACCTTTACATTCGTTGTCGCGCATTTCTGCTATTTGTATGTAGGAAATCATGCTGGACAGATAGTTACGGATCATCACGTCGATGTATTTAATGCTACGTAAATATTGCAAAAATATTTGCTATATGATGCATTTTAAAAAAAATATGCTGAAAATATGCTCACTTTTAAAAAATATATTCAAATATACGTTCAAAGATATTTAACAAATAAGATCTATATTAAAGTATGATATTTCTATAGATAAACATTTAATATATTTTATAATTAAAATTTTGATCTAGATGTCGTTCATACTGGTATACGGCGCCATTGCGTGCACAGAAATTATTATTGTTCATAATGCAGAGAACTTCAAAAAACTTTTCTTTCGTTTTTGGAGGAATATTTGTAGTTTCGCTCAAAGGTTTTTCTACGGTAATAAATAAACTTTACTAATCTAAATATATCAAAATCCTTTTAATAACTACATTTTAGGATTTATCTAACAATAAGACAAAATATAAATTTGCAGCTTGCAAGCATGTCAATATCTTATTTCACGGTGATCTATTCTATGATATATTCGAGATAATTATTTACAAGAAAATGTCTTTATCCGTAGAATATGTATGGTGCAAATTATTTAATATTGTTAGAAGAAATATTTTCGAGTTCCAGGTAATTTGATTATTGCTGATTATATTACACGTAAGAATAATTTCTTTCTTGTCTTATATATTATTTAAAAAATAATATATTATTCTTTAACACATATTACACATATCAATTATAAGTTTCTAAATATAAAAGGATTTGTATATGTATACGTACTATATGATAATGTACATATTTTATTATATAATTTATATATAACACATAATATACACACAATTACGTATACTCTCTATGTATATATATATATATATATATATATATATATTATATTCATTTAGATCTATATTTATCTAGATCTTTTTGAAATCAACATTTTATTAAAAAGATGTTATGGTCATATATATGTATAAATGAATTAATAATAGATGTTATATGAAATATAAATTTTATAAATTAGCATTAAGAAAATAACAAAAATCAAACGTAACAATTAACGAAACAATGCATATATTACTAAACATATGAGATTCCATGGAAAGATAATACCAGTATGTATTTTATCTTTTTTTATATATGAGCAACAAATATATAACGTCATTATACATTTTTAACATTTTTACAAGACAATTGATAAAAAAATCATTAAATAATCATCTCTGTATTTTGTTAATTAAAATTAATAGACACATTCAGACACATTCAGACACATTCACAGAATGTAAAATGAATTGAAAATATTTTGTTATGATATAAAATATTATAGCAAAAGTAATATGTATTATAATAAAGTTTAAGTTATCTATAAAATTTCTTGTCTTTACAAGTTATCCGTAAAATTTCTTATCTTGATTAATACCAATGTACAAAGATATTTATTTCCGAGAAAAAAACTATAAGATAAAATGATCAATATTGATAATTATCTTAATGGCTTTTCATTCTATAGTCAATTGAAAGAAAATCGAGAAAAATTAATCCTCTTTATTTATTTCTCTTTCTTTCATGCTTTATAAATTTCTTACATCTGCTATCTATGCCACGACAAACCATCACCCTACAAATTATGCTTGAGAAAAAATTCATGTGTGAATTTATGTCTGAATTCAATATAGGAGGGGGAAACTCAGTTCCGCGGTAATATTCGCGATGGTATTTGACATATACATTTTAACTTCCGTCAAAGATGAACTTCATTGGAAGGCGGTACTATAGGCTAAATAAATTTCTTCTGCTATGTCTCGGCTTGTGGCCTTATCAAACTTCAGTTTGGAAAAAAATTCAAATAATATTTTTCCAAACATTATTCATATCCTTTTTAGTATGCCAGGTATCAAGAAAAGAGTGATTTTTCATTGCACTGTCTGTTTTACATACAACAATAAAAATTATAGTGAATATAGAATATAGAATAGAATATAGAATAGAATTAACTATTGTATATGATATTAACTATTGTCTATAATATATTGTCTATGATTATCTTTATAAAATTCTCTATAATAGATCTATATGATTGTCTCTATATAAAATAGACAATATTTTCTATTAATTTTATTAATAAATTAATATTTATTCATATTTATTTTATACGTCTATAATTATTCTATAAGTCTATACGGTTCTCAGTGCAACACATTTCTCATAAATCAGTACAGCATCGATCATATCGTCAGAATTTCTTTGTTCATTGTTATTAACTGTATTTATATTATAAAATATAACGCATGTCTTCTGCTCACCGATAATGTAAGTACTACTTATTGTTAAAATCTAAAATGTCATTTTTGTAAGATTTTTATTGTAATATTCTTTAATCATGTAATTTTTTTCTATTTCTTAATTCAAATAAGAAAATACTTCGTGTATTTTCATACTTTGTGTTTAATATTATATAACTATTTAATCTTTTAAAAATCAATATGATTACATAATGAAAAATAACCCATAACGCAATATGCAATATGCAATAAAAAAAAATTTATAGATTATAAAATATTTGTTATCGTAGATCAAATATATTTTCGACAGAGTACAATATGATTGGAATATGCTAAAAGCACAGGCAGAATTGAAAATGATACAAAGATATGCAAACGATGCAAAATTATATACGGTTTGTTTTACAAGTAAGATAAAATCATATATCAATCGCATCAATCCATTTCTTTCTCTGACATGTTGTTTTTACATGTACATTATGCCTTTTATTCATATTTTTATCTAATTAAAATTTATTACAAAAATTATATATTTATATAAATAATATTTATATTTATAATTTTTATACAAATTTTATAAAAGTTCCATAAGACACTTAATCAGATTAATATAAATATAATTGAATTGATTGAACGTGTTGTACAACTTCTTTTTTAATCAATATTTCTTTAATAGAATTTAAAAAATATGTATTGTTTTCTGTACTATGTTAAATACTTAACATAATTCGCATGCTTTAGTCCTGAGTCACTTGTGTTTATTGGGATTATTAATATTGTATTGTATACCATATGTATTCGATGTGACTATACCAATGAATGATTCGCAACCGCAAATAGTGCTAATTAGAGTAGAATATTTCATTGATAAAGAAAAATACTTTTTTGCTATTTTAACACATATTATTTTAACTCAATATGTTGGCTGTATCACAATAACGGCTATCGCAACGATACTCATAGCATATGTACTACACACATGTGCTATGTTTAGAATCGCCAGGTAAAAAAAAAACATTTTCTTAAATATAACGTGCTGTATTAATTTATTTAAAAAAATTATCATAGAAACAAATTAATAGTACTATTTAATAGTACTATTGTTATCATTGGTACTATTTTCCTAGCTATCGAATAGAACACATGTTTGACGAAAATATACGACAAATTCCGAAGAACATTAGAGAACATATTCTTTACGAGAAATTAATTCATGCTGTATACATTCATCGCAGAGCTGTGGAGTTAGTATTAATATGTATCATCTTTTTGCACTCAAAATCTATTTTGCTTGGGCAATCCGGCAAGCTAATATAATTGTTGTAATATATTATAAATATTAATTTGTGTCTATGTGTAATAGGATGCATAATTCGTCTTATAAATAAAGAATCTAAAGTTGATAAACTTTTTTTTTTCTCTTAATTAGATATAAACCCTCGCAAAAAAGGCTGAGTGCAAAAGTTTAAATATCATTGCGATGAATTAATAATAACTATACTATTTTGTTATTGAAGTTTAGTCGATATCATGACGAATAGTTTTGCAACATTATATTTCGTGTTATTAGGATTTGGAATAGCTTCGACGAGTCTCAGTTTTGTTAATGTAAGCAATTAATACAAAAAGAATACGATATCGTTTAAAAATACGATATTCGAGAAAAATTAATTATTATAACAATATATAAATTCAGTTATACAAAATATATAATTAATAATGTTCAATTTAGCTTTTTAATACGATAGTATCTTTACATGAATTGGAATTAATACTATCCATCGGCATTGTAGTACTACATTTATATTATATATTTCTGGGAAATTATGTTGGACAGAACATCATAGACAATAGCATTAGCATTTGCGAAGCAACGTTAGTATTAAATACAGTTTCTAATATTTTTGATACATAATTTTGATGACCCTAATGTTCATTGCAATCTGCATATGAATAGTGTATTAATAAATATAATTTTTTATTCCATTAAATAATAATTTAGAAATTTAAAACTAGAAAGAAATCAAGATATTTATTTGAATATGTAATAATTGAATTTATTGAAATATTAATAAATATATATTAATTGTTATATACATAACAATTATATACATAACAATACACTCTACACGTATTAACAGTTACAATATGCAATGGTACGCTGCGCCATTATGGATGCAAAAGTTGATGTTGTTCATAATGCAAAGAAGTAACAAAAAGAGTGCTTTAACAGCTGGAGGTTTATTTGATGCATCGTTAGAAGGTTTTGCTACGGTAAGAAATTATAAATAAATTTTTTTATTCTTTTTTAATCAGTTGTATGAAGAAAAAAATTAAATATTTATTACAGCTCATGAGTATGTCTATATCTTACGTTATGCTCCTTCAATCCATGGAGACACACAAGAAAAACGAAGATGATAATAGTCACATTTAAAGAATTCAATTTGCAATTATAGAATGTATTCAGTAGATACCATATATCTATTTTTTCGCATATTTATTAATAAAATTATTTTTAATCACAAAACAAATTTTTCATTTTTATATCACTTTTTGAAATTATTACGATTATGCACTATTTATATATTAAGACTTATTTCTTTCTTTATCTCGCTTTTTTGTTAAGTAAACAATCATTTATACAGCTATGATTGTACGATGATATAACAATTCCTAATTAAACTTATAAATAAATTACAGTATAGTTAAATAAATAATATATCTTTTTAAAAAATTATAATATAATAACATACCTTTCATAAAATATATCGTAATATTAATTAAATACTTCTT